TCCCTCCCTAGGAGCTGCCGCCGCCGCCGCTCTGCCGCCGCCGCTCCCGCCGCCATTTTGGGTTCGCTTTGCGGAGGGGGAGACGATCCCCGTCTCGGTTGCGGGACCCGCCTCCCTCAGTTTCCCCCGCTTAGCCCCGCGCCTTTCCCTTCTCCTCTCTCGCATTTCCGCCCGTCAGCTCACCCGCTGGCCGCCTCCTGACAAGCGGGAGGGATCCGCCGTGGACCAGGGGAAGCGGAGGAGCCGGGTGGCGGCCGCCCCCTCTTCCCCACTTCCCTGCACTCTCATCTCTCTCGGCCTCGGCCTCTGACACGGTGAGTAGAGGCGCCTGGAGAGGCCTTCGGGCCTAAGTACTCCCTCAGCGGCTCAGCCCTTGGCTCCCCGGGAGCTGCTGTCATCTCCCGGACCTGGACCTCCGGGAGAGCGGTGGTAAGGATGGGGGAGGGGAGGGGATAGAAGGGGATCCTGAGCTTACCGGGAAGTCCCTCCTGGCGGGGGTGAAGGGGTGTCCCTGACAGGCGGGCTCCGGGCTTGGGGGCGGGGGCGGGAAAGTGAGCGAGTGGAGGCGGAGTCGGCTGCGCCCCTTGACAGGTTAGTTGGTGTGCTGTGTAGGCACGGTTGGAGCATCCATCCCCATAGTCCAGTTTGTGTCTGTTGATGATCTCTGAGGGTGGCTTACTTGTGTGGTCAGGACTGTGGTGTCTCCAAAACCCTGAACTGGGATGTGGGAACGATAGAATGATCTCAGGGTTTTAAGTTTAATAAATGTTACTGGTTAGTTTGTATATGGAAAGACATGTTTTTGGTCTAAAAGACAGATGGTCTGTTGGTGTATAGCGGCTGTGTTTGTGTGTATATGCAAGGAAGGAAAGTGTTCCGAAAGAGTTTGCTTGTATTTGTATAAGTGTAATGGAGTTCCCCTCAAAAGTTAGCTTATTTTTAAAATATAACTTGGGATGTTCCCTCCTGGCCCGATATGTGTGTGTTTTAGGAATCGGGAGCCCCTTATTACTTGCTGGGAAAGAGAAGTCTTGTCAGTATGTTAGACAACATAGCACATATGTGGTGTGGTCAGGGATGGGAGAAAGTTGTCATAGTCAGTTTTGGTCTTTAGAATAGTTTGTTCCTCTTAATAGAGTGAATTGTGTAAATGTGAAGGCCCAGGACGACTTTAACAGAACAATTACTATGGGGGTATAAAAAATGGATGGCCTTTTTGTTGAGCTTTAAAAAAAAAATATTAACACTTTGCAATAGGATAAAACTTGTATTTTTCAGAATATTCTTTAAGTTTCTTTGTGACCCCAAATCTATGAAAATGTCTTCTCTCAGATTACAAACCAGGACATTGAGGCATAAAGAGATAATTTTTCCAAGGTCACACGTTAAATTGGCGCCAAAGTTGGGACTCTCGCTCAGAGATTTTGACTACTCATCCAGTAGTATATACACTATATCCTAGTGCCTCAGGAGGTGTTCGTCAGGCAGATATGAATTTACTGGAAAAATAGAGGCATATATGACTATTTGGGTTGAATTCGATAGAGATCAATTGTGACAAACATTTATATGGAGCATAGATTATCCTTGCCAGGTTGGCCTATATGAAATGAGTATCCTTGACTTTATTATGTATTGTTTGTGGAGCTTCCTCCAGAGCATTTCTGATACTTTAGCTTGTGTATTTAAGGGAGGGATATCTTTCATAGTTTAGCTTGTACCAGAGTAGCTGTATGAGGGCTGACAGCTTAACTTTAAATCTGTCGGAGGAAGGATCTTCTTTCATTCATTCAACAAATAGTTACTGAGTAACTACTCAATAAAGGGTCCCTGCCTTGGTGTGAGAATAATCAAGGTGACCCTATCAAAACAGCCTGGGTGCATATGAGGGACCTTGTCTTGACAGTGATATGGATTGAGAAAGGCAGAAAAGTCATTGTGGAATTGAAACGAAGAAACCTTCCTAAAGAGTGTGTTGTTTGGAAGGAATTTAGATCTTCCAGATATCTTAATATGGAAAGATACAAGTTACATATTTAAGAATCTAACAGGATGGTCAGTTTGTGATACAGTGTTCCTTTTTTGGCATTTATGAGTAAACTTGTTTTCGGGATCTGGGAATTGTTGGTATATGTGTGCCTATAGGTATTGGAATTTTTTGGCTGGACTGAAGGAATTCTTCAAAAGACTAATTTTGTAGTGAGGATTCCTTCTTTGAATATGAGGGAAGAATACTTGAACTAAGCCAACTTAACTGTATATTTCTTTGGAAAATGAAATGTTTTTGATATGCTAGATTAGTGGTTCTTAAAGTTTTTTTGGGTTACTTATCCTTCTGAGAATCGAATGAAAGATCCTCACTGTAGAAAATGAGCATAAGCACAATCATACAAATATGCATATAATTTTAGGAAAAATTGTAATGAAGTAGAACCAATTTATATTCAGGTCTCATTTGAAAGCCTTTTTAAAAATATATTTTGGGGCGGAGTTGTTGGTATGAGATTAAGATGAAAGATTCTGTGACAGTATATTTGAGCATGCTGACAGAACTTTGAGATCCATGTTTTGTATTCTGTATATTTTCTTTATTCTTTTTCATTATCTTTTTGTTTTCAAACTCATCTCTTTCTAGTTTTGCCTTGGGACTCAGGTGTTTTGAAGCTCATTTCCTGGAATTTACCTTATTTATAACATTATTGAGTTAATTCAGTGCAGGGACACAAAGATGAATAATATATAACCTCTGTCCTTGAAGAGATTCTGATCCAGTTGAAGCTATGAATTGTAGTTTGGTAGGGGTTTTCAAAGGGGCAAGGAAGAGGGAAGCATAGTCCTAGAAATTGAGTTTCTTGACTTAACTGCAGGGAGTTTTTGCCATTATTCTTAGGAAGCTATAAAGTCTTCACAACCTGTATACAACTTTGTAGCAACAAAATGTGTTTTGTTGTCATTTGATGTTTTGGGATGAAGGAACTCTCTGGTTTGAAAAGGAAGCAATCATTGGTTGCATTCCTCATCTTGTTTTGGATGTATTTCTGTAGTGAGTTTATGTAAGAAGGTTTTAATGTCTTTTTTGCACATACATGCATCTCGAAACACTTCTAGGGTAAAATCCAGTAGCTGTATGACAGACTACCCATGAATCAGGTACTGTAAATTAAAAATAATCACTGCATTTTAAAAGGAACAAGAACTTGAGAAAGATGTTTTAATAGGACAGGTTATAGGATTCAGTAAAGTATTGGAGAGATCTTAAGAAAAATGGTCTCTCTTTTCTTTATTGTCATAGCCTCTGTAGAAGAATGTATAAATTTGTGAAAAGTTTAATGTTTTCTCTAATTTTTAAGTTGGGTAGTTGGTTCATAAGGTTTTTAATAACATCATATAATATATGTAGTGTGTATATAGGTATGTGTATATATAGTCTCGTATGTATATTTCACAATTCAAAAAAATAATCCTTGTAAATCAAAACCGCAATGAGATACCACCTTGTATCAGAATAGCTAGTATCAATCAATCAATAAGTAAAATAATAACTGTTGGTGAGAATGCGGAGAAAAAGGAATGCTTGTACACTGGTGGGAATGTAAATTGGTGCAACTACGATGGAAAGCAGTATGGAGGGCTCTCAGAAAATTAAAAATAGAAATACCATATGACCCAGTAATTCCACTTCTGGGAATTTACCTGAAGAAAACAAAATCACTAATTTGAAAAGATATGTGCACCCCTGTTTATCACAGCATTGTTTACAATTGCCAAGACACAGAAAGCAAACTAAATGTCCCATTGATAGGTGAATGGATAAAGAAGGCGTTGTACATATATACAATGGAATATTCCTCAGCCATAAAAAGAAATGAGATCTTGCCATTGGGACAACATGGATGGACCTAGAGAACATTATCCTAAGTGAATAATAGACAAATACTATATGATTTCACTTATATGTAGATTCTACAATGCAAAACAAATGAACCAACAAAACAAGTAGATTCATAAACAAAGGATAGACTGGTGGTTGCTGTAAGGGAAGGGGTGGATGGATGAGCAAAATAGGTAAAGTAGATAAAGAGATAGGAACTTCTGATTATAAAATAGTC